CGAGGGTTGGAAGCGTGAAAAACGTGAGAAGGCGAAACACATTAGAGAAACCATTGGAAATCGACGATTTTACCCACTTTGGGCTCTCTCGGGGCGGTTCTCGCAGCTCTCTTGGGCAATTCTTGGAGCCTCGTCGGGCTCTTTTTGGGACCTCTCAAGGGTCGGGGGTGTGTTGGGGACCTCTGGGGGTCCCAAAGGCCTCTCGGAGGTCTCTGGAAGCCTCCTGCTCCCGCTCTTCGGCCCATCTTGGGCCTGTTCTGGGATGGTCTGGGGCTGTCCTGGGCGCCTCTTCGGCAGTCTTGGAGCCTTCTTGGCCCGTCTTGGGGCCGTCCTGAGGGTTTCTTGGGTGGTCATGGGGCGGTCTTGGGAGCCTCTTCAGCGCTCTTGGACCATTGGAAGCTCGACAGCGCGAGAAACCAAAAACATTGCACAAAACAACTGAAAATCGACGATGCTGGCCTCTTCGGGCCGTCCAGGGACGCCTCTCGGACCTCTCTTGGGGTCTCTTGGAGGCCACATGGGAGCCTCGAGAGCCGTTGGAAGGCTGACTTAAGTCAGCCTTTCAACGTCTTGGACCATCCTTTCGCATTCTGGGGGCTCCTGCGAGGCGTCTTGGGCCCTCCTGGGGCGCTGTGGAGGCTCCCCAGAAAGGCCGGGAGAGCGGTACCGGGAGCGTCCCCGAGACGTCCCGGGGAGATGTCACGGGGAGGTGTGAGATGTGTGTATAATGTATTATATGATACATATATATATATATATCATATATATATATGATATGATATGATATGATATGATATGATATGATATGATATGATATGATATGATATGATATGATATGATATATATATATATATATATATATGTATATATATATAGATATATATATATATATATATATATATCGGAGGTGAGGGGGTGAGATCGAAGTGGAACGGAGAGCCCCCCTACCAGGAAATCGATTTCGGTTTCGTGTTCGTGCGTGCCGTGCGTGCGGGCGAGGCGAAGCTGCGTGGGCGGGCGAGAGAAAGTCCCCTGTGGCTGAGGCGCGGCCGGACCAAATGTGTCTCTTCCGGCGGCCGGTGGCGCGCGGTGTCCCGCCGGTGTCCCGCTGGTGTCCCGTCGGTGTCCCTGTGGCTGAGGCGCGGCCGGACCAAATGTGTCTCTTCTGGGCGGCCGGTGGCGCGCGGTGTCCCGCCGGTGTCCCGCTGGTGTCCCGTCGGTGTCCCGTCGGTGTCCCGATGATGATGTGGATGATTATGATGATGATGATGATGATGATGATGATGATGATGATGATGATGATGATGATGATGATGATGATGATGGTGATGATGGCGATGATGATGATGATGATGATGATGATGATGATGATGATGATGATGATGATGATGATGATGATGTTGGTGTTGTTGTTGTTGATGATGATGATGATGACGTCGATTGTGAGATCGATTGTGACATCGATAGTGAGACCGAATGTGAGATCGATTGTGAGATCGATAGTGAGATCGATTGTGAGATCGATAGTCAGATCGATTGTGAGATGATGATGGTGATGATGGTGATGATGGTAATGATGGTGATGATGGTGATGATGGTGATGATGATGATGACGATGATGATGATGGTGGCGTCGATTGTGAGATCGATTGGGAGTTCGATTGTGATATCGATAGTGAGATAGACTGTGAGATCGATAATGAGATCGATTGTGAGATCGATAGTGAGACTGAATGTGAAACCGAATGTGAGATCGATAGTGAGATCGATTGTGAGATCGATAGTGAGATCGATAGTGAGATCGAATGTGAGACCGAATGTGAGATCGACTGGGAGATCGATTGTGAGATCGATTGTGAGATCGACAGTGAGATCGGATGTGAGACCGAATGTGAGATCGATTGTGAGATCGATTGTGAGATCGATAGTGAGATCGATAGCGAGATCGACAGTGATATCGATAATGAGATCGAATGTGAGATCGGTAGCGAGATCGATTGAGTGAGACGTTTGTTCCCCCTCCCCCTCACCTCCTCATCACCCGCAGGGTGGTCGTTTAGGTATAGATATATATATATATATATATATATATATATATATATATGCTTTGCAAGGGGCGGGGTCGAAGCCTCGGCCCGGCTGCAAAGCGTCCTGCAATGTTGCCATTTTCTCCGAATACACGGTAGGAGCAATACCCAGATTCGCGTCCCCTCGAGCTGATGCATGGGTCTCGTTAGCTCTCATAGGAGTGGACAACCGGTCTGACACAATGCTGGCGGATATATTACAGCCTTGAGCATACAGCTTAAATTCAAACAACCTTTATCGCCTTCACAGTTGACACTAAGCAGTGGGCCAATATGCAGCTGGACCAGCTAGCGGCCCAACGTCGCAACCTGTGTCAATTTCAACGGGCCGGGGCAGCGGGAAGCAACATAGCTACAATGCGCTCAGAATTGTCACACTACTGAGCTGATTGTATATCGCGAGCGAGCGAACCACGCGAGCATGCCTGTCGGCTGCTCGGCCCTGTGCAGGGCATGGGTGTACAATTGGACTACCAGCCAGACAACAAATATGAAACTTGAACAGAATTTGGAATTGGGGATGCGACTGGGGGGGGCAGAGATCGCAGATCTCTGCGCGGACTCGCGCGGGTGCAGGCCGCAGAAGCTCTGCCCGCGTGCCTGCTCGGCGCCGACACGAGCCCGGAGCGCGGAAGCCCATGGATCTCCTCTCTCTCTCTCTCCTCCTCTGCGCTACGGCTCCGCTCACCGTTCCCTTGAAGATGGGCCACCCCCCGAGAACCGCTCTCGGGCCACGAGGCTACCAAGAGTGGACCAGCGGCGACCTGCTGTCCGAACCCTGGAGGCTTCCTAGCCATCTTAGGGCGGAAGGGCGCAAGGCTGAGCAGCGCCATGGACTCTGCTCGCACCGCAGTCCTCTTTCGCACACCGTGCGGAGGAGGAGGAGGAGGAAGCGGGGGCGGAGGAGGAAGAGGAGGGGAGGCGGATGAGGGCGAGGATGGAGATGGGGACAGGGATGAGGATGATGATGATGATGATGATGATGATGATGAGGAGGAGGAGGAGGAGGAGGAGGAGGAGGAGGAGGAGGTAGAGGAGGAGGAGCGGACCCATCTCTCTTTGCACAGCTGGCCGCTCGACAGGCGAGCCGACCACAGCCCGAGAAGAGACGCGCGGGACCTGCCACTCGTAGTGCGCCCGCAGCTGCTGCACCTGGCCCCAGCTAGAGATTGATGAATCATCTAGGAGCCAACAGGCCGGGACAAGGCCAGCGGATCCTGGTCCTTTTATCTGCCCAGCGTCCCAATAAACCTCTCACATGCGAGGTCGATTCGTACGTGTTGAGTTTGTTCACGCGACGATGCTACACAGCCTGACCAACATATACACAGCGCAGTGCAGCACATCATTCTAAGGTTGCATGACACCAGATCGCAGTGTCTGGCACACCGTACGTCGACTGTCAAATCTGAGCTACCCTTGTCGTTGGCACTTGGGCTGGACAGTCTCAAACCCTGGCGAACCATCTCCTCCCATCCTCTCCCACCATCGATCCTACGCCACACACGATGCAATCCCCGCCCTTCCTTTCCCCCCCCCCGCCCTCCGCACCTTCCTGTTGACAGCCCATCCCCTCCCTTCTCATACGGCGCTTCACCCCCTTTTTCTGCGTGCCAGGCCGCCCATGCCACCGCCTACGCATTGACCAAGTAGCCCCGAGGGCGACGAGGAGAAGCAAGGAGCAAACATAGAGGAGAAGCACGATGAGACAAGACAAGGGATGGAGATGGAAGAAGGGGGCAAGGAGGAGGAGGAGGAGGAGGAGGAGGAGGAGGAGAAGGAATAACTAAAGAGACGAGGAAGGAGGATGCATACGAATTTCTGATGCCACCCCGAAGGGGATTTCGAGGCCAACCTCGAATGTTGAGCGTTTCCGCACGGGGGCCGAGGCGTTCGCTGAGCCGCTCCTGTGTCGCGCGGAATCTCCCGTCGGGTGGCAAGTTGACTTCTTTAGGGGCCCCAAAACCGTGGCGCCCCAAGAGATTCAACCGTACGGCTCGTCACAACACAATCTTGGGGCCCCGTCGAGACGTCCTCGGACGACCGGGGGTCCCGAACCGTGCGGTGACCCCGAACCCCGACGGACTCACCACACGATGTGGTCACCACACCGTCTGGGGGCCCCCGCTTCTGTACGCGCCCTACCCGGGGGCGGCGTGGAGAGGCACACCGATAATGCGCAGAAGGCCTTCTGCGATAGTGAACTTTTTGTTTAGCGTGTCGTGGCGACGGCCCCTGCGACACGCTGTGCCTTGCGAGCGGAAAGCGCGTCGCTCCGCTCGGCCAGAACCGGCGGCGAGACACGCCAAACCAAACTATCCGACCGTATACACAGCCATGCGTACGACAGGCTCGCGCCGTGGCGACTCGAGCGGTGATTTTTGACACACTGTGGGTCGTTAAACCTTGAGGGTCCGCGCCTGGGTCGCCGCCGAATCGAGGCGACACGGCCGCAACATAGCCAGGGCAAAGCATGGTGGTGATGCCCCCCCCTGCGGATGACATTCGGCGTCGCGAAAGACAAATCCGCCGATCCGGCGTGTGAGCTTAAACGAGCCTGAGCTTCAGCTCAGCTCTGCTAGGGGGGGGGGGGGGCAGGGTGGCTCTGCCGGGAAAGGGGGGGAGGTGCACGGTTTTCCCCCAGGGCAGTAGGCGACCCGAGGAGGAGGAAGAGGAGGATGTGGAGGAAGGGGAGGGGGAGGAGGCGATGGATGAGGAGGATGAGGATGATGAGGATGAGGAGGAGGAGGAGAGGAGGAGGAGGAGGTAGGAGGAGGAGAAGGGAGGAGGAGGGAGGAGGAGCAGGAGGTGGAGGAGGAGGAGAGGAGTAGGAGGAGGAGGAGGAGGACGACGACGACGGGTCGCGTAAGCCCTTTGGAGAACCCCCCAGGGGGAGGGTGCGCGGGCGTTGACTGTGTTATCGCATTGCCCTTCCCAAACATGTGGGCGAGGGTCCCAGGGAGATCCCCGCAGATCTAGCTGGGACCCCCCCCCCCCGCGGGACCCCAGCCCTGGACCCCCCCCCAGGGGACACCCCCTCGGGACCCTCCTCCTGCTCCTCCTCCTGGTCCTCATCCTCCTGGTCCTCCTCCTCCGCCTCCGCCTCCTCCTCCTCCTCCTCCTCCTCCTCCTCCTCCTCCTCCTCCTCCTCCGGTACCCTCCCTGGGGGCACGTGTGCCCTGGGTCAGCGGCATTGGCCGGATGCCACCCAAATAGTATACCAATAGCAAGCAGTCGGTTTGGTACCAATTCGGATCCCACAGCCCCCATGGGTATATCCAACACGAAAGATCGAGCATGACCGCGGGGTCTGGATCTCCAGCCTTGATTTCCCCGCTCTACCCCCAACCCACACAGTCTAGGTGGGGCTGTGATCCTAAAGCATCGTCGTGAACATCCACACGAAGTCACATACAATAAACGCACAGACACACATTCGAAATGCCCCCGCCTCACACACACACACACACACACTCACACACACACGCGCTATTTCTCAAAACGCCCAGAGCACTCGCACATTCAGACCACCTCGAAAATCACTGTCTCTAAAAAGTGCGCACGTGTGATTCGTCGGACGGCGAAACATAATCCGGACGCGGAAAGCAATGGCGGCGGAACAGCGACCGCAGGGTGGAGAGGGCGCGGAAGACACAACGGCTGAGAAGTAGCAGCAGGGCAGATTATAGCGGAGAGGACAACCCGGCAGGAAAACAAACAGGAAAGCATGGCTCCGAAGGCACCGGGGCCGCTACTGTCTCAGGGTCGGTGGAACGGCGCGACGCGACGGCGTGGGAAAGAGGAAGGCTTAGGTCGGGCATTCCTCCTACATGCGGATTTTGGACGGAAGGTGCAACAATATTACAACATGCACAACATGGTTTCTTCTTGTATAAAAAATCGAAAATCGTCTCCATACTATTTCTGGACTATTCTTAAATATTCCTCCTGTAGGGGGACACGCCCGACCCAAAGGAAGGCCCAAGACGCCAGCACTGCCAGGCGCGACAGATAATCGCCAGCTGTGCGCAGGCCACGGTGGCAGTGGATGCAGTCAAGAGGCAGCAAATGCAGGCGGCTGCCCGAAGGCAAGGGAAGCAGCACAGCACCCGCACGCCCAAAACACTTGTGATGGGCGTGTTTTCCACCACCACCACCACCACTACTATAAGTTGGAAAGGGGAGGAGGCATGTACACACGCATGCGGCGCGCAACGCGTGACGTGTTGCGCGCATCCACGTGCGCGCTAACCGCCCCGATCCTGTGCCCAACCTGCTCAACAAACTGCTCAGCCAACTGCATGCGCCTCCGATCTTCGGCGGGCGCACGTGCGAGCTGGCGTCCAAACTTGGCCCAAACGTCAGCCTGGAAATCGCCGAATCTATCTATACGGGAGATCCGTCCTGCAGCAACATCTGACATCGTGCAGTGACTCTTGACCCTGCGCCAAAAGAATCCGTTGACGCTCCTCCAGAATCCTCCATGGTTCTCCAGAAGACGCGCCACCAACAAGCCCAAGCCGAGGAGTGGGCCGTGGTGGCCTCTTCTCCTCTCTCGGTCACCCCACGGAACACAAAATCGGAATCGGTGACGGCCACAACCGGCGGCACAGCATTCCGAGCCAGAAAATATCCCGTCGACATCACGCACAGCATGCGAGCAGGTGCAATAAACGACATCCTCGACCCCGAGCGGCTCTTGCTCACCTAAGGTGGCAACAGCCCAGCCTATGCAACATAGAGAACTCCACTGACTATCAAACGCAATCCCGTCCAGAAAAGCGTCCTTGGCAATCGGGGCCCAGGGCCCGCGTGCCCGTGCCAAACAGCGGCGTCCCGGGCGGGGGCCCTCCACGAGGTCCGAGCCATGGGCCAAAGCGCCCTGTCCAGCAGCACGCGGACCCGGGGCCTGTCCTGAGCCTGGACCAGCGGGCCAAACGCACTCGGGCACGGCAGCTCACAGCACAACTCGCACTCAAAATGCCGGTGCACCAACGTGCCAGGTCGCCTACGCACCAAGCACTCGTTGTTCGTGGCCTTTCGCGCCTCGAACTTTCTAGCCATAGGCCATTGGCCGTTCGCTATGCACGACTTCAAATGCGCACGAGCCTCCGGCCCCAGGGTCGGGGGGTCACGATTTTCCCCGCACCGAGGCCGCCCGCCAGAGACCGCCTGGACCAAGTGCAACCAAACGGCACCAAACTCGAGATGTGTCAAGTCTTCATGCTTCACCACCAGTCGCCATTGCCAGGCCGTAGCAACTTGCACCAGATGATGGCGAATCACTGTGGGGCACAGCTCGGATGCATCTGGATCGAAACCGTCGTGGGTAGTCCAGCAAAAAAGCGGAGCGCATTGACCGGCCAACTCGCGCCAGCGAAAGCCGACGCGCACTAAACGGACCAGACACTTGGGCCCACAAGGTGACGGCAGCAGCGCCTTCCAATCCCACCCGCGCCACGCGCCTCGGCACCCAGCCCTCCCATATAGCTTGGCGGAGCGCGAGGACAGGCAAGAGCGTGGCGCGGAGGATTGGGTCTGCATCCTTCTCGCGCATCCAGGCTAGCGTACGAGATTTGCCTGCTGTGGCACTCGTGAGACAAGAAAAGGCCGCGCTGCGCATGGTCTCAAGGTTAGATGTGGAACATCCTGCGACGTTCATGCCATGCGTCATGCGCGCCTCCAGCCCAGAGCGTACAACCTTTCAAACAGCAAGCCGTTTCTTTTTCCAAATGCGGATGAGACCCATGCGACGTAGACGCGCTCGCGCACCCTGAAGACGTCCTTGACGCACAGCGTGCCCAACTCTCCGCCCACAAGAAAATCGATCCCGAGGTTCCGTTCGTGCTGCGTAGCTTCCGCACCCCTCTTAGAGCGTGCAAACGTCGTGCAATGTCATCCCTCGCACACTGCACATTGCACAGCACTCTCGACTTATCAACATGCACGCGCAGGTCCACGACAGCGAGCGCTGCCTGCAACTCAAGCGAGACCTGAACCAACTCCCGTGTGACTCTCGACTGTGCGCCAATCCGATGCAGCGGCAAATCGTCGACAACGATGGTGGGAACGACCGCGCGGTGCAAACGATGCACAGAATCGAGCGGCCGAACAGCCGTCGCCGCGGAGAACCGTCTGCTCAACTTCCACGGGCGACGATGCAAGTCGGCCTAGACAACAAAATCGCCCAGCATGGCGCAGCTCGATATTTCATTTTAGTTGCCAGAGCGGGGGCCCAGTAGCCGCGGCAGCTTCTAAGGGACAGGGGAGTTCCCCTCGCTCGAATGATTTCATCAAATCTAAGAGGACCATTCCAGAGACCCCAATACCCTGGGCTGACCCTTTTGCCTTAGTGGCGACATACTCCGACCAGACCGTCTGTTGCCAGACGGCGCGATTGCACGATATCCCTTTGGAGGCCCAAAAGTACGATCGATCATTGCTGGGCCCCCACTCTCGAGCAATGGGTCGGCGCAGTCGCGCCTGAATGCGAGCAAGGATGTGAATTAGCGCAATATGGCAAACGCCGCCCAGGCGTTTGGACAGCAAGGCAATCTTGGAATCAATATTCGGCCACTGAGCCGACGCCCCGACTGCCGCCAGCACGCCCAGGGGAGAAAGGTTTTTTATATAAAAACAAAAACTTCCAGGGCAGGGTCGCACAACGCGCGCATCTGCTGCGGCCTACGCACGCAGAAACTCATACCAGTGTGCTTGGGAAAAGGTTCCCAGCACTCTGCGGAGACGTTCAACGCATGGACGCTCGCGACGCACCCCCAGACCCTCAGGCCGAGCGAGGCCGCGAGGCCACTCTCCAACCCTCCACCCCCTGCCCCATGCCTCCTGGATCCTATCCACCTGCTGCTGTCGGTCTCGGGGCCGATAGAGGGACTCGGTGCCAGTGTCGCTGAACCCCGTCGGGATCTTCGCGATCCCATGGGGCCCTCCAGACCCTCCAACCGCTTGCTCATCAACCCATGTACGGAACCTCGCTGGTCGTAACTTTTCATCCTGCGTGGCCATCTTGAGGGCCACTTCTTTGGCACTGCGAGCCAATACCTCCAGAATGCTGCAGCCCCAAGAATCCGCCTCGAAGGTCTGGGAAAATGCCCACCATTCACCAGCTGGCACATCGCCGGTCTGAACGCTTGCCGGCGCATTCTCCAGCTTCCGCGCTAGGGCCCGCAGCGCAGTGACACGCGCGAGCGGCTGCGCGAAGCGAGCGGCGAAAACCAGACCGGCAGAAACAGCGCGCAACCAATGAGGTCAAGGCGACGCCTTGGGGAAATTGGGCACCTCCTGTGCCGTCGCAGACACCCGCCTGGCACGCAGAGGCTGATCGCGACCTTGAAACTCTTGGGCATCGTTGCCCACGTCATATACATCGCATAGCTCAACCCTGGCCGGCTGGATAAACGCGTTCAATGCCCCAGTGAGTTCCTGGCGTTTCTGTCCGCCGCCCCCATGCCCCCCAGCGTGCGCAACGGTTGAACCGTCAGCGCCAGGGCGGAGCTCAACGGTTGAACCGTCAGCACCAGGGCGGAGAAGAGATTCAACACGCGTACTCACGGGCATCCATCATTGCTCGTGCTCAGATCACCGGCAAGCAAATGGACGCTCCGCAGGAAAGGCACGAGGCACTGGAGCGATACATACACGTGGTCGAACTGCCCCTCCAGAAACATGCAGACGCACGGGCACATGGGAGAAGGTGCTGATCTGAACGTCGACCAGAGCCGCGACCTTCTCAACAACGAGCTGATGTGAAACAACGAAGAAATCCAGTGCACGTCCGCTCGGGAACGCGGCGGCATCAGGACGAAACACATCAGCCTCGAAGTACTTCAAAATGCCCGACTCACGTACCTCATCTGGCGTACACTTTAAGGTACCCCCGATGATGTACGGCATGTACACCCCTCGCAGACATTCCGCCACACTCATCAAGATCTGGAAGTTGCGATGACCCATGCCCTCACCACTGATGAGGTACACATGCACTACGAGGATGCCGTGCGGAGCGAAACCTGACTAGCACAACATGGTTGCCCTTCCTGGGATCAGGACCTCCGACGACATAGTCTCCAGTTTCGCAATGCCATGGATGCGAGGACACATGGTGATCAGCCCGCCATGCCCCTGACTGCCTTCGACGACATCCGATGCTGGCGACGAGCGAGCACACCGGTCAAGCTTGCCGAACTCAGCCTCAGACTCCGTATATCGGTGGCCTGGCAGATGAGCCTCCTGGATCATAACCACACCGGCTTCCTTGAACTCATCATGGACCAAGAGTGGCTGTAATAAAGAATGCGCATTGACATTTGCTGTGTCTGCTGTCCACCTGCTAAATACTATACTTAGGCGTCTTGGTGACTTTGGCCCTGAGCTCAGCAAGAGGAGCGAGACGCTCAAAATCACCCCCGCATGCTTCTTCCATCTCTTCCCAGATGCGCTGGCCGATGGCACGCTTGGCACCTGAATCGATGTGAGCCCAAGGCCGAGGATCTCCACCATCTGCCCACGAGTCGTCGTCCACATCATACGTATCATCCCCATCCATATCAGGACCAACAGCCTCAATATGTGCTGCAGAGCCAGGAAGCGTACCCAGAATATCAGGCCCAGGGTGACCTGGAGGCGACGGGCGCGGCGGCGGGCTCTGAGGGCCGCAGCGCCGCCGGCAGCGCCTTGAGCAGCCCGTCGAGCGCGCCCAGGGCCCCCAGATGCATCTCGCCCATCGCCTTGTCGAGCTGCGCTGCCAGGGCTGCCGCTCCCTGGGGAGGAACGGCCGCGGCGGGCGCTCCCAGCCCAACCTTCCCTGCAGCTGCGACCCGAGCTTCCCCCAATGCAGCTGCAACCTCATTCTCCAAAACCTTGATTTTGAGGCGATGCTTGTGCAACAACTCAAGCGCTTCCCGAGCATTCTTTTCTTTTTTGGCCAGGGCCCCTTGAGCGTCCAACAGAAGCTGAGCCGTGCGATCCACCTCGCACTGGGCTGAGCGAAACTCTTTGACGGTCGCGAGACGGGCGATCCCCAGTTTAGCCCCCCAGCGGAGCCCGATGAGCGTATCCTTAGAGAACTGATCACGCGCCTGACTGGCTGCCAAGTACTGGGGCTCGGACATCTCGAATCAGGGCGCCTGCTGCTCGGGAGTGAGGGCCTGCCTTCGACTGCCTTTAGACTTACCTCCTCCGTCTCCTCCCTGCCCTCCTGCACCACGAGTGCCCCCCTGAGGTGGGCCGTTCGCCCAACTCCCACGAGGACGCTGCACAGACCAAGGAGGAGCACTGTGGGGCAGAAGCGGGTTCGGTCCCGTACAACTTGCCTGCCTGCACTTCGCACGAAATCCAAAGTTGTAGTAGCCGCACGAGCCGCACTGCCAGCCATTCGGCTTGACCGACATGCGCCCCGAGGTCACTGCGCACGCACGTGGGGTCGCGAACCCCAGGCCAGAGAGCCTCCACAATCTCTCGAGCAGAGGTTGGGAAGTTCAGGAGCAGGCCCCTTGAGCCAAAATGGCTACGGACCCTCCTCCTCCTCGTCCTCCGCCTCCGCCTCCTCCTCCTCCTCCTCCTCCTTAACAGGCTCATCAACTCGCACGCTCGAGCGCAGATCATCACCAGCACCGCGAGGACCCCTGTATAGTCCCCACCGTTGCCACCCCCTTCCGCCGTGGCAGCCATCAGCATCATCATCGCCACCCTCCTCCACACAAACATCACCATCATCTCCATCATCATCAGCAGCAGCAGCAGCATCACCATCATCATCAGCATCACCATCATCATCATCATCATCGTCATCATCACCATCAACATCATCATCATCATCATCATCATCACCATCAACATCATCATCATCATCATCATCATCATCATCATCATCATCATCATCATCATCATCATCATCAGCATCGTCATCATCAACATCATCAACATCATCATCAACATCATCACCACCATCATCACTATCACCACTACCACCCTCACTACCGCCAGTAGCACCATCACCATCAGCATCACCATCACCGTCATCACCATCACCATCATCACCTCCGCCGCAGCGCGGCTGCCGCGCCGGATCCCACCCTGCCCCAGGAGTGGGCGGTGGCCTCCTCGTCCTCCTGGCAGCTGCGCGCCGCACCGGCTGGGACGCCCTGGCGAGGCCACGGCGTTCGGGGCTCCATCCCCTCGCGCCTCTCCTCTCCTCCCCCCCCCCGATCTGTCCCTGCGTCCCTGGTGCCCGTGAAGTTGTTAGCCTGACCAATATTATGCTAGCTGCAGCGCCACCCCGTCTCGACAAGCCGCGTGCTTCAGCGAGGAGCCAATCCAAAAAAAAACAGATCTGCCTCCTTCCCCCTCCCCGCCTCTCCCCCGTCCTGCCCCGCTCTGCCGACCTCTCCCCGAGCGCTTCCTCTCTGGCTCCCTCGCCGCCCTCTCTCTTCCTCCCTCCCTCGCCCCCGCTCCATCCCTCCCTCGCCTCCCTCGCCTCGCCTCCCTCGCTTCCTCCCTCCCTCATCTCGTCTCCCCCTTCCCCTCAGGCCACTTTGGAAGCTCTCTTTTTGCATTATCGTCCCTCTCTTCCCTTCGGCCGCGTCGGTCGAGCGTTGGGCTTCTGCTGCCGCAGGGTGGTCGTCCGGAGCGCCTGTCCCTTGGCCGGCTAAGCGCAAGAGCGACCCTAGGCAATAGTGACTTTGGTGCGTGGACTAAGGGGGCGCAATGTGGCCAAATGCCTGTGGCAACTCATGGGAGCCTCCCATACCTTCTTGGCGGCTCTTGCAGATCGACGCTAATCGACGCTATATCGACGCTAACCGACGCTACATCGGCGCCATCTCACGACTCCCAGACGCTAGTCAACGCTAGTCGACGCTAAAGAGGGAATTAAGAGGGCACCCACCAGTCGGAAGAAGTAGGTACAAACATAGAGTAGAAGGCATTGAACATATATCAGGCTCCTCCCGCCCCCTGGGGAGGACGGCGAAGGTGAAGCCACTCGGTCACTAGAGTAGGAAGGCGCTGAAAGTATATTGGAATATGGGAATCCAGAAGTACCTTCTTTCAACGAACGACCGATGGGTACACCAGGCTCCCATGACTTGCTACCGAACCACACCCAGGCGCGCCAGCAGCTGCTGTCGCATCGCGCTCAGCGATCGGGGGGGGGGAGGAGGAGGAGGAGGAGGAGGAGGAGGAGGAGGAGGAGGAGGGAGGAGGAGGAGGAGGAGGGAGGAGGAGGAGGAGGAGGAGGAGGAGGAGGGAAGTGGGAGAGGAGGAAGAGGAGGAGGAGGAGGGAGGCGGAGGCGGAGGAGGTTGAGGAGGAGGAGGACGAAGGAGGAGGACGAGGAGGAGGAGGAGGAGGAGGAGGAGGAGTGGAGTAGGAGGAGGAGGAGAGGAGGAGGAGGAGGAGGAGGAGGAGGAGGAGAAGGAGGAGGAGGAGGAGGAGGAGGAGGAGGAGGAGGCCCGTTTCGCGTGACCAGCGGAGGGCCACTCCTGCGTGCCGTCGACTTTGGGGCGGCCCCTGCTCCTCTCTCGGGGCCGTGGGGGGATCGGATACGGCGCTCGCGGCCCCTGCCCGGCTCTGAGGCTACCGTCGGGGCGTTGATCGGAGAAACCCTCAAGAAGGAACGAGGCCCCCTGTTCCCGTAAGTTAAACTTCGATTTCCCAGGGAAGATCTCAGGAACACCTGAGGCAAACTCTAAAACAATCCAGGAACACGGAGCCCCTCCCCAACGGAATGGGTTCCTTCGTCAGCGCCCCGACTGTAGACAAGCGCGTTCCACCACTCGCAAAGTAACTACTCGCAAATGGCCTACATCAGGGCTGGACCTAGACGTTGTTGTCCCATCTGTGTTCGTTTTGTGCTTCGTTTTGCTCTACCTGTCCTCCTGTGCTTCCCTTTCAGAACCGAAAGCAAACCACAGCCGAAATCCAGCAAAACAGCGTTTCGTCCAGCCTTGGCCTACATCCGCCGCGGGGGATTTACTACCCATTACGTAGAGGAAGACATATGTTTTTGTTCGGACGTTCGCGAGTACAGTGGAGGCCAGTCCACGAGAAACATTCCACCACAAGAAACCCAGCCCGGAGATCCTAGGACGTCCATGGATTTTTGGTGTGGGAACGCCATGTCCCCCGTCGCAAAACCATCGAAACCCAAGAAACCCAGGGCACCCTGGCGGCAAGCAAGGTGTGTCTTGGCATGGACCCCCACTGCAGGCACCGTGCGAGTAGTGCAACACACACTTGGTGAGAGGCCTCGCGGCCCCGAGCTCGAGCCTCCCGGCCTCGGGGGCCTCTGCCTCCGGTCGGGCATGTCCCCCTACAGGCGGATTTGGGGCATTTCATAGAACTTAAAGTGCCCCAGCAAAACTTAAACATAGTTTGAAATAACAGCATCGCTCCCAGACTATATGTGGACTACTTTTGAAATTTCCTCTTGTAGAAGTACAGGCCCGACTCAACCGCAGCAGCCTGGGCCAAAACGGAAGCCGCACGGTCCCAACTCAGTCCGGGACATGCCGCACCGACGCCAGGCCCCTCCCTCTACAGCAGGGGCCCTTCCACAAGAAACCCAACCCTTAGATTAGGTCGGGCATGTCCCCCTGAAGGGAGATTCTGGGCGACAAAAACAAACAAAAGATATACAAACAATGGTAACAAATACTTTGAAAATCATCCCCAGACTATTTGTTGACAATTTTTGAATATTCCCCTCCCTGTAGAGGGACATGCACGACTTAACCCTGAGACCCAAGGACGGCCATCTACTTTCTTTTGTTGTGGGAACGTGAGGCCTTCCACAGGAAAACCATCGAAACCCAAGGAACCCAGGGTACCCTGGAGGCAAGCAGGGTGTCTCTTGGCATGGGTACCCACTGTGCAGTCGGGCCGCTGAAATAAGGAACG